ATTCGTAGTATCTTATAGGCATTGATTTATTATCTTTAGAACAGAAAATTTGATACTTTTTAAAAATTTATATAAGAATAAAATATTATCTTTAGCTATCGAAAAATCTTACTTTTACTTGAATATAAATAATTAAAAAAAAAAATCTATTATTAATCTTTATAAAACATATATAATATCTCTTCTGATAACCCAGATATCTATAATTAACTTGGACGAAGATGATTCCTATTATGATTTATAGGATGATATTTTTTTAGGTCATCAAGCCTGAATAAATATTAATACTAATCATCTATGAGCACCTGCTCTTTTATCAGAATATTAAAATTAATTGTTATCCAATTTAACATCTTTTCCTCTATGGCAACCTTCTCTTCCTTTAATTTCTCTCAGTTACTAATTTCAAACTGAAATTTTATATATGTTCTCTTATGTTTCTTATTCATATTGCTTAGTTCTCATATTTCCTGTTCAAGCAAAATGTATCTCTTATGATATCAACTTAGAATATGATCTTTGTAGAGCTTTTTCATATTTGTCACTTACTGAACATCCTAATAAAGAAAGCTATATTGCTGTGTATACTTCATGTATATCTATTGCTAAATATCATAATGCATCAATACTTACTCCTATTTCAGATACTTTAGCAAATGTTCTGATGTTTTATTGCTGTTAGCTTTCACCTATTCACTTAAATTGCTCTCTAGGATATGCAAAAAGTGCAAATTGTTTTACATATTATTGCTATCTTACAGATATATTTGATCTCTCAAAAAATTTTTGTGCCTTACAAATTTACACTGGGATGTTAGATGTTATTTTAGATTCTGCACTTAATAATAACTGGTTTCATCTATCTTTATTAGATGCAACTAACTAGTTAAAAGTTAATAATTGATTCTTCATACAATTTGATCAGATGTTTTCATCAATTACTTTTACGTGTCATCTGAATATTTTTCCTACAGCACAAATAATTAATGAAGAAAATATAATATCTGATAACATACTACTACAATATCCTTCTGATATAGTAGTACTCCTATATAATTTTGACTCTGAAGTCTATAATGAAAATTTTCATTATAGTAGACTATTAGCAGATTTCTTAAGTAATTCTAGTAATGTAGAGTTACTGATTTCATATAATGATCTAAATTTAGAAGCTATACTTTTTTCTGATCTTTTTTCAGATAGATATAGTTATTAGAGAGAGATCTTTGAAAATTTAATTAATTGTCATAACTATATCAATATATATGCTAAATATATTAAACTTTAACTATTATATTCAGATTCTCAATTCTGTTTTTACTAGTACTAGCTATTCTGGTCTTATATTAATTTAGAAAAACTACAAAATTACTAAAATTAGCAACATATTTTACGTTAACAAGATATAAATCAACAGTAACTACTAACAATTTCAGATTTAATTAATCAGAGTATTTACTCCAATTGACCTATTATTAATGAAATATTAACTACTACACTTCTTTCTTATATCCAAACTAGCAATATATATTTTCGTCAATGTTAACATTCTGTAAATGCAATAGTTCAAAGTTTTGGCCTACCTCAAATCTTCTATACTATAACTATAGCTAAAGATCTTTGACTACATTTACTAAAAATTCTATCACATACTGATGACTATTGCACTCTACTAACAAATTGCTCTTTACATACTTATTTTCATTATTATCAGAAATTAAATTCTGTTTGAAATTTGCTATAAAAAAATCCAAATTTAGCTAAATGAAGTAAATGGTTACATTATTTTGAACACGATGAATTTCAAAATTGTAGCAATATATATACTCACAGTAAAGCTTATATCGATATATCTATTCCAAATCTAATAACTCATAATATTATTCATGCAAACTTATCTGATTCTCAAACTGAACTAGTTCTTTATAAACTAGTTTGTAATTATCAAATCTATTATTGTTCCCCTAATAAGTATAGTAGTCTACCTCTTTCTAGAAAACAATATAGAAAAAAATTTTTAGTACTGCTATCTGACTATACTTATTTTAATCCTACTTTATTATGTTATACTTATCATCAAATTAAGGAAGAATATTAATAAGTTGTTTTCTATTATGTGTCTACTTTATTATTATGGCAAAGATATTATAATTTTCAATATATCACTTCTAAATCTTTTGCCAAGTATATGACCAAATATATTACCAAGCCTGAAAGTTCTGATCTATTTAGAATAACTGAAAATTATATCTATTGCTTTTATATCTTAGTTTGCCATCTTGATGTAATAGAATTAATGATATTCTTGATTAGATATTCTATTTGTTATTCTACTATTGCTACAGAGTATCTACTAACTACATTGCCTAATATTTGATTAAAGTGTATAAAGCCAATTCGTCTATTAAATGTGGAAACTTCTAATCCATACTGAGCATATGCTATTGACAAGTATTTCTTCAAACATATCAATTCACTCTTTAATAATATTACATATTCACATTATTATCAGAATTACAAATAATATCTAATCAACCAAATTTAAATATTAATTATTAGATAGATCAGCAGAATAAATTCATAATTAAAAGAAAAAAATTGATATTAGTAAGATTTCAATATCTTTTAGTAGAAGATAGCAAACTATTTTTTTATCAACAACTTTTACTTCATTTATCCTGTAGAAGGGAGAATGAATTATTAGCTTCTTATTCTAATTATTAAGACTATTTCTACTCAATATTTTCTGAACAATTTGATCAAGTTGTGCAGAATATTAGTCAGAATACATCAGCCAGATTTACTAGATTTTCTAATAATTACTAACACCAAATTGATAAAATAATACAGAGTATATATTGAGATATTTCAACTATTATACGTAATCAGCTTGATACTATGATATATTTACTACCTTTAATTTCTC